CTCAAACCTGTGGGCTCAGGCAATCCACTCACCTCGGCCTCCCAAAGTGCTGGGATTACAGGTGCACTCCTAATCTTTATGTGTCAGTTCTAAATGTTAAGTCCCTGGGAGACAGAATATGATTGGCCCAAACCCCGACATCCTGTCAGGTTGAAGGCAGAGCTGTGAGTGTTACCCAATGTAGACATGATGGCCCATCCAGGGAGTCACTGTGAACTGGGCAGACACCCCAAGAAATGTCCCTTACGTGCAGCAAAGACTGATCACTGACTGATTACAGGCAGCCCGTCATCATTCATTCATTGGAGCAGCTCGGAAAGCACAGGGCATCATTTTGATAACTCTATTCTCCTTTCTTTTCCCTGCTTTATTAAGATCACTTCATTTCAACAGATGTCTGTAGTACGCCCATTCTCTGCCAGACACCCTGCTATAGGCTGGGGCTATGAAGAAATAAGGTCTCATCCCTGCCCTTAGTGAGGGAGAAAGACCAGCACGAATCGTTTTTATAGAGCCAGACGAGCAGAGCAATAGGGACACACACACCCAGTGTTCCGTGCCGGGAAAATGAGCCTCACTCTTGTGCGTGGGAGAACTCCATTATCTCTCTCCCAGCAGCTCTTGAAGATGTGTGAAAACACCCACCCACAATTACAATTCCCAATTGTGTTCTATATGGGGTACCCGGGCCTGAGAAACTTATGTTAATTATTCGGAAAGGAAAGTTTAGTTATAAAGCAAACAGATTGCGTTCTGTGAGGATCCTGGGATATGATAGAAGCCTATCACAGGCTCCCCGGCTGTCATGCAGGCTGCCTGTGTGTTTGAGATATGAATGCCTTCCCTCTCTGGCTTCCCTCTGCTGATTTTTCTCCTTAAAATTGTTCCTATGTCAGCCCTCTGTGGCTTGATGCTGGAGCATATGAATACTCTCTATTAAGTGGATTATAAAGGATTATGAAGTATAGCTTCTTAGAGCAGCTTATCTTCTTTTCAGTGAGAGTAATTGTAGGTTTCCTATTATGTGTGGTTAAAAACAATTTAATATGGGGTGTAAGGGCCACTAAAGTTATACTCACCGTGGGGGGAAACTTGCTGATTTGAGCTAACTTGGTTCAGCTCAACCTGATCTCGCAATAAGAATTTATGTGCAGCCGTATTTTTAATGCTGCTAACCTTTGAAAGAGATGTGAAAAGCCATCTACTTAATTGCTGCCAAATACATTCTGCCTGGTGAGTTCCAGATCTGAAACAGACGTGTTCTATTGGCTTTTGGCCTATGCCGAGCTGAGCTCTATTGTGTTATTCAGGGGAGAAACTGAATGGGAAATGGAATGGTCACTGAAAAGATGCTCTTGTTTACCCAGGGGTGACCGACTGCCCTTTCTATGTGTGAACAAACCGCTAAAGAGTGGGTTCCACCTCCTGAAAAGCAAGAGCCATCCCTTAACATAACTGCATGCTCAAGGCATCTGTAATGCCGTCAGAAATATAGATGCATTCTTCGTACTTTGTATCATGTTAGGGTTTCGGGGTTTCTCCCATTTGCAGTGGTTTGGTCCGTGCACTAGATAGTGTGAGAATCAAAAATGGGTAGAACAAGAAACGGTACCTAGACCTCATGTCTTTATTTATACTCTGCCTCACTCCACAAAGAATTCACAGCAACACCCAGAATTGTGATCGTTAGCCTACTCTCAGGGATTAGGAAGCCCAGGCTCTGAGAAGTGAACTCCCCAAAGTCTCATAGCTGGTTAATGGCAGTACTGGAGCTGACATACCAACCTGCCTCTCTCCTTATTGAAGAACGTGATCGTTTTCTCTCACCCCTGTCACACATTCATTGTTTTTTTGTTGTTTTTTTTTGAGTTGGAGTGTCACTCTATCGCCTAGGCTGGAGTGCAGTGGCACTCTCACCGCCATCACAGCCTCGACCTGCTGGGCTCCGGCGATCCTTCCACCTCAGGCTTCCAAGTAGCTGGAACTATAGGCACGTACCACCATGCCCAGATAGTTTTTTTATTTATTGTGGAGATGAAGTCTCACTAAGTTGTCCAAGCTGGTCTCGAACCCCTGGACTCAGGCAATCTTCTCGCCTCGACCTCCCAAAGTGCTGGGATTACACTGTACCCGGCCTCATTCCATTTTTAAAATAAATGTGTTAAGCACAGACCAAGCACTGGGTTACCCCTTGACAGTGTAACGAGAGTTGGAAGGACATGGGTCCTAGTGCTTACTAGCTAGAGAGAAAGACAGATTTGAAGCAAATGTTCACACAGATCAGTTATGTAAATTATGAAAGAAATAGAGCTATAAAAGCCATCGTTGTTTAGGGTGCTATCAGCATACCATGGAGGTCCTGGAAGGCTTGTTTCAGGAAATGACATTTATGATGAGCTATGAAGGAGAAGTAGGAGTAAATCAGACAAAGGATTTGGGCGACAGGCACACAGAGCCTGAGAGAAGGGTGAGAGAAGGCCTGAGGAGGGTGTATCTTGGGTCAGCTAAGGAGCGGGGAGAAAGCCTGTGTGTCTGGGCTGGACACAAAGAGCGAGGGGTGAGAGCACGGACAGGGCCAAACTGGGAGTGGGACCTTATAGCCTTCTTATCAGTTTTGGACTTGATCCTAAGTGCATTAAGAAGCCATAGAAGCTGGGTACAGCGGCTCATACCTGTAATCCCAGCACTCTATGGGGACCTAAGCAGGAGGATTACTTGAGGCCAGGAGTTGAAGACCAGTCTGGGGCAACATAGTGAGAACCCGTCTCAAAGATAAAAGTAAAAATGGTTTAAAAAGAAATCACAGGAGCATTTTAAGCAGGGGATATAAATATAATCAGATTTATGTGTTAGGATCGTCATGACTGCTGGTTGTAAGTGGGGATACCAAATAGGATGCTCTTACATGAATTCAGGTAAGAAATGATGATGGCTTCTACATAGGGTAGGATGGAAAGAAGTGGAAAGGCTCCAGTTCTATTTTGAAGGTAGAATCAACAAGACATATTGATGGGTTGGAAGTATACTTGAGGGAGGAGAGATTTCAAGAATGAGTCCCAGTTCCTGGTCGAGCAAGCAGGGGGGATAATGTGGATGTTTACTCGGGTGGGGAGAATCGGCTATGGAACCATCTGGGTGAAGAAGCTCTACTTTATTGGGATTCTTGTAAGACATCTAGTGGCACTATAAACTAGGAGTTGGATATGCAGATCCTAAACTCAGAAAAAATTCTGGATGAAATACGGTGAATTCAGAAGGCATCAATATGTGGATAGCCTTTGAATTTAAGGGAATAATTTACCTGATTGAAATTATTGAGCACACACTGGAGAAGGATGAGTGGGGTGTAAATTGAATACAGAAAGACATTTCAAGAGGTGCAGTGGCTCACACATACCTGCAATCTCAGCACTTTGGGAGGCCGAGGTGGGAGGATCACCTGAGCCCAGGAGTTAGAGACCAGCCTGGGCATCATAGTAAAATCTCATCACTACACAACGTGTTTTTTAAAAATTAGCCGGGCAGCCGGGCTCGGTGGCTCACCCTGTAATCCCGCACCTTTGGGAGGCTGAGGTGAGTGGATTGCCTGAGCCCGAGGGTTCGAGACCCGCCTGGGTGGCGAGACCTCATCTCTACAATAAATCAAAAAATCAGCTGGGCGTGGTAGCGCATGCCTGTAATTCCGGTTACTAGGAAGGCTGAGGCGGAAGGATCACCGGAGCCCAGCAGGTCGAGTCTGCGGTGGCCGGGAGCGGCTGCTGCACTCCAGTCTGGGTGACCGAGTGAGACTCCAACTAAAAAAAAAAAAAAAAAAATAGCCGGGCATGGTGGCAAATTTTTTTTGCCTGTAGTCTTAGCTACTCTGGAGGCTGAGTCAGAAGGATTACCTGAACCCAGGAGGTCAAGGATGCGGTGAGCCATGATTATGCCACTGCCCTCCAGTCTGGGCAACAGAGTGAGACCCTGACTCAAAAAAAAGAAGAAAGAAAGACATTTCAAGTAAAGTCAGTGTTATAATTAAAGCTCCAAAGCAAGAATGACATAGACCAATAGACTTGTCCAGTTAATGAGAAATAAAAATTAAAACATGGTTGGATTTTGAGTTCCTTCCCGAGTTAGGCAGTGGCTCTTCTATTTATATGTGTGTGTGTGTGTGTGTCATACAAAAAGAAAACTGTGAAGTCTTAGAACTTGACACATAAACAAGAAACTTTTCTGTGAATTTGCGTTGTCAAACCTCACCTATGTCTTGAGGTGAATATATTGGTCATGCATCATACAGGAATGATAAAGGATAGTCATTATCTCCCAGACCCCTGCCCACCATCTGCTAGTCACGTGGTGGAACTAGGCCCACAGAATCAGAAACGGCACGGTAGGAGCTGTGTCCCTGTCACCTGGTAATGCGGTTTCAGCTCCATCTGCTCCACTCCCTTGGGCTGAGGAGGAGGAGGAGAAGGCGCCTAACCACGCAGCATTTTCTGTCTAGCTCTGCTCTCCCCATCCCTCCGTCCTCCTCACCACCCACCATGCAGGGCCTGTCGTAGACACCCTGTCATCTTTCGTTTGGCAAAACAAAGCTAGAAGCCAAGTAAGGAGGCTGGGAACCTTTCCAGTTCAAAGAACAAGATACACTAGACATTAATAGGGCCTAAAGGTTGCACATCTCCATTTAAAAGATGTATACCCGAGAGTGCTGAAAGCCTTTCCAAAACTATCCCCTGTATCACTTGACTTACTAAGCAGGATTTGACCAACTCATAGCATTGACGTTCTTTGTCACCCATAATTGTAGCCTAGCATCCCTGGAGTAATCCGTCTCTTCTTGTGCCTAATAGCTTTGGGTGCTTGAAAGCTACGGATATATATGTGTGTGTGTAAGCTTGATTCTGCATTGCCGTGTGTGCATTTTCAATTGGGATCTGAGGAAGTATTTATAATGTGAGCCAGGAGCTTAGCACTTACTGTGTGCTGACTCTGCCTATTTTACCGTTTCACAGAAACGAAGACGCGGTCAATCAGATGGCTGTTACTCCCTTCCCATTACCATCAAGCTCTCCGTCTTCTATTGAGGTAAGGCTGTTCCAGATTAGCTCTTAGTGAATTTGATTGACTTGTCATGGGCATTTTCCCCAAATCTGACATTTTTTATTTTCAGTATTTGGTATTCCAAACGCATAGAACGTATTAACTAGAGAATTTCCCTGACTAAAATAGAAAGCATTTGAGGTATGATGACCAAATAATATAAATCAGTGTCAAGCAAATATATTAGAAATTAATCATGTGAGTATTACCTTCCTGAAGGTTGATTAAGGTTTCCTCTACATCTATAATTTTGTCCTAGTTTGGGCATTTTAGAGCTTATTAGAAGATTTTTCCTTTTTATGACTGAATTATACCTCTTTATGGTTTCGTACCTATGACTTTAATACCTATGATTGCAGGTCTCTTTAAATAATTACCTCCGTCTATTAATGGAGACAATACTAGTACAACAGGATTACTGTAGTATCAGTCTGCTTCTAGGATGGACAAATAGATAGATAGACACACACATACATACATACGTAGATACATAGATACTTAGATATAGATAGATAGAGTCCTCTGCATATGAGCCTTCAATTTGCAAACTTTCAAAGATGCAAACGTGTTCACATGGTCAGTCACATAAGATAGCTCACATGTCTGGCATAAATTGTCATGTGTGTAAATCCTCTACAAGTGGTTGTGCTTTTGTGTACTTTGCTGAGCAGTACTGAATAGAGTACAGTAGTACAGTATCTTTATTGCAAGCCCAGAATGTCTGGAAGCAAACGTAAGAGCAGTGGTGATGTAGCTGGTACCATAAAGCCAATTGTGTTAATTGGGTACCTAGGCTAACTTTGTTGGACTTACAAGCAAATTAGACTTACAAATGCACTCTCAGAATGGGAAATTGTTCATATGTAGGTGTCTTACTGTACTCAGCTTATCTCCCCAACTGAAGGAATATTCATTCTCTTCTCATTTTTAACCTATTGAATTATTTTTTAATTTCAAAAAGAAATACGTACATATTGTTACTAATTAAACAATGCAGAGTTATGAGAAGAAAGTTTAATTTTTCTTTCCCTCCCTAAGGAAGTTAATGTTTACTATTTAATATCTTTTTTTTTCCTTTGCATCTACAAAAAGGAGCTCTATATATCATCCCTTTTAATAAAAATGTGATTATGCAGGACCCGTTATATTTCTTCATTCAACAAGTGTTCTATGGGTGCCTCACGTGTGCCGGGTACTCTTTTGGGTGTTGGAGATATGGGTATGAATAAAACAGATGAGGCTTCCTGTCATGGCTCAGCTCACATAACAAACTCCCTGAGAAACACATAACCAAGAGGACTGCCCCATAGTGGCCAGTGAAATAGGGAATGTGACTACTTTGATGAGTCATAGAGAAGGCCTCTTGGACAAAGTGAGTTGTTTTTTTTTTTTAAGAAAGAAGGATTTATCGAGAGGACAGAAAAGCTCCCACAGTGGGAGGGGACCCAAAGGGGTTGCCTCAAAGTGAGATTTCAACACGATCAAAATGCTGAGAGAGCCACATGCTCATCCATGAGGGGGAGAAGCTTTCCCTGCAGAGGGGACAGAAACGGCTCTCCGACGAGAATAAGCTGGGGTGTTGGAGAAATTTGGCTGGAAGCACGCTGGGAGCCAGGAGAGTAGCAGAATATGAGACAGGAGTGGGAGGGAGCCTTTTAAGTCAGAGTAGGAAGTTAAGGTTTTATTCTCTATGCAGTGAAGTCACTGGAAGGTTTTAAACAGCGGAGTGAAGTGGCCTGATACACACTTTTAAAGGATCCATCTGGCCCTTTAGGAGAAGAAAAATAGTTATCTTTTGTTCATCCCCACAGGTTCTCAGTTAGAATGGACCCCTGTAACAAAAGATAGATTAGCAAGAGAAAAACAGAAGTTTCGTAACGTATGTATTTCCTATACACATGGGCAGCACCCAGAAATGAGTAGTTCTCAGAAAGTTTGCTTTGAATTCAAGCTTAGACATTGTCTTCAACAAAGGACAGTAAATTTTTAGAGAAGTGACAGGACTAGGGAAAAGGTCTCTGTCTCTGAGACAGCAACTCGGGAAAAGACAAATAGCTGACAGATCAAGGCTAGTTGCTCATGCCTGTTCACCGGATGCTCTGGTACCATCTCAGGGGATAAGCGTCCACAGTTGTCTTCTTGGGTTAAGCTTTGTTCTCCCTGGGGGTATCTTTTGTCTTTGTCAATCAGTGCCCTGCTTTTAGGCAAATGAAGGGAGGGCAGAGAGCTCTTCTGCATCTTTCTTCTTTGTAATTGCCTCCGGCTCAACAATGCTTCCTTTTTGGGGTGGCATATCCTGGTCTCCCACAGCTGCTAGGTAGAGAATGGATTGAGAGGAAGGTGAGAGTAAGGCACTAGAAGACTGAAGCCCAGTGGAGACCTGAATGTGGCATGGGTGAGGCATTGGAAGCACAGAAAAGGGGCAGGTTCCAGATGTTGTAGAGATTGAGTCAGACTTGATTGTTTAAAGTGGGGGCTGACCAGGCTCAGTGGCTCTGCCTGTCATCCCGGCACTTTGGGAGGCCAAGGCAAGGGGATTACCTGAGCCCACGGATTTGACAGCAGCCCGGGCAACTTGGAGAGAACTCATCTCTACAATCAATCAATAAATAAATGAAATTAGCCAGGCATGGTAGTGTGTGTCTACATGTAGTTCCAGCTACTTGGAAGGCTGAGGTGGAAGGATTGCCTGTGCCCAGCAGATTGATGCTGGGGTGGCTGTGAGTACACCGCTGTACTCCAGCCTGGGTAACAGAGTGAGGCTCCAACTCACCAAAAAAAATGGGAACTAAGAGGAAGTAGAGAATCATGGGATAAACCTAGATTTTTGACTTGACCAACTGGTTAGGCAGTCTGTTGGAGAATAGCTGTTTCTCTCAACTGGGAGTTGAACATTAAGAGGCTTGTTGTAGTTAAGTTTGAGGTGCCTATTATACATTTTTCTGGAATAGACTCCGTACATAAAAGAAAAAAATGCCTTTTTTGCTTAATATAATGTCATGTTTTAATATGCTCTATCATCATATATATTTTTTCCAATCTACAGATATCCAGATGACCTGCAGTATCTGGCTAGTAAAAGCGTATAAGCATGTGTGTATGTGCACGCATGCATGTGTGTTTAGCAATTGTTAGGTATTAGTGCTTTTACTTTTATAGCTTAGATACCCCAACATACAGTTGCTTAATCAGCAGCTTAGCAGGTTCAAAATTTGGATCTATGTTGACCAATTACCATCTAAGAAGATTGTAGTTGCTTGACCGTGACTTGTCACCAACAACCATTTCACCACAGCCTTGCCAGCACTGGGTTGTTTCATTCTGATGAAGACCTAGGACAGGCAGTCAGCAGGGTGGTGGAGAGGATGGGTCCCAGAGCTGGACTACCTCAGCTCAAATCCTCGTGCAGCCATGCACTAGACGTGTGATCTTAGGTAGCTGCCATAACCTCTTCGATCCTCACTTTGCTTCTCTGCAGGAAGACTGCAATAGTTTCTACCGTGTAGGATTGTTAAAATTAAAGATGATATGTGTATCTTGTGCCCAGCATTTGGTTGCTGCAAAGTAAATGTCAGTGCTTAATTGCAAATTCTTCTCTTGTATTTATAGATTGTCATATACATCTTGGGGATGCAGTCTTTGGAAATCATTTTTTTTTTTTTTTTGAGTTGGAATCTCACTCTGTCGCCCAGACTGGAGTGCAGTGGCTGCTCCCGGCCACTGCAACCTCAACCTGCTGGGCTCCGGCAATCCTTCTGCCTCAGCCTTCCGAGTAGCTGGAACTACAAGCGCGTGCAATTGTGCCTGGCTAACTTTTGATTTATTGTAGAGATGATGTCTCGCCAAGTTGCCCAGGTGGATCTCGAACCCGTGGGCTCAGGCAATCCACTCACCTCAGCCTCCCAAAGGCGCCAGATTACAGGCTGAGCCACCGAGCCCAGCTGGAAATAATTTTTATACTGTTGTTGGCTATAAATGTTCCCATCAAAATCTCATCCCATAGTAAATGGTTTGTGTCTTTGGTTTTCTGTTTGTGTTTTTAAGTTTTAAAACAAAGTTTATTAGAGAAAGAAGCAAGAAAAGAAAGAGACGTGCCAGAGCTGCCATGGGCAAGAGAAACCACTGGCTTTGTCTCTAGTTGCACATATCATATTTTCTTTTCAGTGTAAAATAAAAATACCTTTATGATAACCAAGAAAATTTGCAGCCGGGCTTGGTGGCTCAGCCTGTAATCCCGCGCTTTGGGAGACTGAGGTGAGTGGATTGCCTAAGCCTGCGCATTTGAGACCCGCCTGGACAACTTGGTGAGAACTCATCTCTACAATAAATCAAAAACTAGCCGGGCATGGTAGTGCATGCCTGTAGTTCCAGCTACTTGGAAGGCTAAGGCGGAAGGATCGCCGGAGCCCAGCAGGGCGAGGCTGCGGTGGCCAGGAGCGGCCACTGCACTCCAGTCTGGGTGACAGAGTGAGACTCCAACTCAAAAAAAAAAAGAAAAGAAAATTTGCCTGACTTTAAGTTTAAAGCATCTGTGAAATCCAGTTTTCGTGACTTAGAGTGACTATATGTACACCATTGGTGTCAATATTTAGTTTTGAGGGGACCATTTCTGGGGTTTCTGATTGGTTTCATTTGTTCTCTTTGTCTCAGAAATCATTTCTGATTTCTGCTGACTTCCCACTCAAAGGGGAGCACTTGAAAGGAGACAGTTGGGTCGGGCACGGTGGCTCAGCCTGTAATCCCAGCACTTTGGGGGGCTGAGGCGAGAGGCTTGCCGAAAGCTCAGTGGTTCAAGACCAGCCTAGACAACTTGGTGAGACCTCATCTCTACAATAAATTAAAAAAAAATAATAAGCTGGGCGTGGTAGCACGTGCCTGTAGTTCCAGCTACTTGGAAGACTAAGGCAGAAGGATCACCAGAGTCCAGAGTTGGGGTGGCAATGAGCGTGCCACTGCACTCCAGTCTGGTCGACGAAGTGAGACTC